AAATATTAAATACATATAAACATCGAATTTTTGTGTCATGTGGTAAGTTGAATGCAGCACTGGTTGAAATTAGATGTTTGTGAAATCAAAATACTAAGTCTATAGTTTCATACAAATTAGAAACTCAAATTACCAATATTGACAAGCTAGAATATAAAATAAGGGTGTGTCTTTTCTATTTGCTAAGATATTGCTCATGTAATAAATCAAAGACAGTGGCACCCCACCCACCTCTTTCCATTTTTGGAAATGCTCCCTTATATACACTTACTTCTATATATGACATGAATAACCAATCGGAAGATCAGAATGTCCTCCTAGTGGTTTTCTAAGCCTTTCTAACGTATCTAGCATCATTTCTTGATTTTAAATCAAGATTTCAATGAGGTAGGTTGTGTCTTTAGTCTGCTCGAAATGTCATTTTTTTAAGAATAAAATCATCTTAGTTACTAAGCTTGATAAATTATAGTTGATAAATTATGGTATTGATGTAGTAATTTATGATTTTTTAGTTATTCAAATGTATATATAAAACCTAAAAAAAATTATTTTGTTTCATATCCTCCACGTGCAAAATTTTTAAAGGCTTAGCAACCTACATCAAACAGCAACCAAGTTCAAAGGTCGTAACTAGAAGAGATAATTGTTTGATTTACTTCTTTATTTACAGTTCTATGTTTTAAGAAAAATAACTTTAAGAACTTGAAATATTTCAAAATAACAATAATCTATATACATATATAAGGTTTAATAATTGAAATGTGACTACTAAAACACAGCCAAGACAAGTTACTTTGTACAGACCAAAGGTCAGTTTTATGTTATTTGATACGGTAATACGAGTGCACGAGCCTTGTCATTGTAATTTCTGTACTGTTCGCCAGGCATGGCTGAAAGGTCAATATCATAAAAATAAATATATATAAATGTATAATGTTATGAGATTTAAGCAATTTAGTCTAAACATTTATGTTTTCATGTTAATTTAATGAAAGAGTCATAATTTATATTTATTTCCTAATTTTTTATGGTGGTTGCAAGATCAGTCAAATCTACTGAATTCATACACAATGTCGGTCAATTTGACCGAGTCATGCGACTTTTTGTACTCATTTAAAGTTTTTATAAATTTAACACTTATAACTCTCAATATAGTGGGTATATCTTCACAAAATTTGGTAGTCTTTCAGTTAATATTACAAATTATTCACAT